AAAAAAAAAAAAACTCCCCAGGGGATCCCAATGTGCAGCTAAGTTTACAACCACTGCTTTAGATCAGTGCTTGTCAAACTTGAGAGCCTGTGTGAAAGTCACTTGGGGTTTGTTAAGCCACAGATTCCTGGTTTCAGACTCTGAGCTTCTGCAGGTGTGGAGTGAGCCAGAGACACCACATCTCTAACAAGCTCTCAGTGACACTGATACTGCCAAGCTGAAGAGAGCACTGTGAGGAGCACTGGCCTGAGATCCAAGTGTAAAACGTGCATATTAACTCAGATCCAATTAGGGGTTTGCTTTTGTTTTGTTAGGGGCTGGGGGCGTGGGATGGGCAGCATGCCACTGAAAGAATTCTTGGCACATAAATAAATATTTTATCACTGCCATCTCGGGTTGGCCGTATTTTGCCAAGACCAAATTGGATGGTGTGGAACATGACAATCGTGACGCTCATGTGTGCTGAAAGTAAACATGTTGACATATCTTCCTGCCTTAGAAGGGCACATCCTGTGATTCCTCAGTGGTTTCAAGGAACTGAAAAGCCTTTGTTCTGACAAGTGACCTCAGCCTAAACACCAGGGCCCAGACAGGAAGGTGGTGAATAAGATTCATAGGACCTCATAAAGGAGCAACCATAAACTACCCTTGCCTTTGCAAATGACTAGGCTAACTCCTTGATTCAGCCAGCCACCTGGGGTTTCTATCATATTATTACAGGACAAACTGGCTTTTAGCAGGGAAAACCTTCAGGAAAGAACTAATGCGAGAACATTGAGCATGTAGGGGACGCTACTGGTGCCCCACTTAGAGCCTGTCCTCTAGGGCAGGCACCCATGCCCCAGCTGCTGTGAGTGTTGGCTGTGGAAAGCTCACAGCTGCCCCTCTTCTCCTGGAAATGCCCAGGAAGCTACATCCTCTCCCTGAGAGCAGACCCACTGCCAATGACATACTGATATATACTTTCTACATACGTGAGATGGAGAAGAGTGGCCTTCCAGCCTGAAGGTGTGACAACTCTGGGGAGATATTCATGCTGCTGAGCTCCCTGTGGGATGAGGCTGAGCCCACATCTTTGCCTTGCTTCCTCCCTGTCCCATCCTGGATCCCTCACTCCTTGGCAGGCTGCTCCTGAATCACTTGCACAAGAAGCCCTGAGTCAGGCTCTCCTTCCAGGGAGCTCAACCTACGATAGAACTTGATGAGATTAACAGAAACGAATCCTTTCTAAGAAAGGTGTCTACATGCAAACAGGAGGGAAGGCAGTGAATAGAGGTTCATAAAAGGTAAACCACTGCGATATAATCTAGGAGATTCCGATAAAAACCTGGTCATCATGGAATGGCCACAGTGCCAAGCTCAGGGCAGGAAGCATGAGGTCTCTCTCCTAGCCCGGCCAGGCATGTGACACCTTGCTCAGGTCACTTTCTGAGCCTCGTCTTTTTATCTGAAAATAGTAAATAACAATACCTTCACCACCAGGTAGTAATCAATGCAACCAAGAATTGTGAGTGGATGCTAAAATCAGAAGGCGAAAGACTTAGGAACAGGATGGTCATAGCCTTAAAA